TGTATCACTAAAGGTATGTGTACAAAGATGGACTGGGGTCCAGTTGTGTCCGAGTTTCAGATGGAGAAGAGATACAGATGGTAGATGACTTTTTTATATAGACTGTACAAAACATGTGGCAAACATCGAGATCTAAAGGGTTTTGTTGGGGGGTTTTTTTGGCATCATTTTACGTTTTATGGAGGTGTTATCATTGGATGAAAGTAAAACAAATATTTTATTATCAAACTGCATTCTAGTCTTAATTCCAAAAGTGGGCAAGATCATAAAATAACTTCAATGATATGTTACCTCCTTTACAAACTTGAAAATAATGAGTTTAGAAATTATTCTTTTGAGCACAAAACGAAGTCTGCCAAACCACGACAGGTACTCATCTGTTCCTCAACTTGCCTAGGGAGTGGTACCTCAGGACCCCTTCACTGCGCATCCTCATGTCTCATGTTCTTCCAGCTGGAAATATTCTCATTATGTACATCCATTCTGCAGCAGTAATAGTGCTTTCCTTCAGATCGCTGAAGGAGGCCAGGAAGAACATGCAACTTCCCTAAGGAGTTTCCCTCTGCACATGACTTGTCAGGAGACACCACAGTGCTGCGGAACGGGGTCTGGATAAGCTCTGGTCGCAGCCCCACCGTATACCAGCTGTGGGACCACAGGCACGGCGCCATACCGCACACCGCAACGTTCCTCCCAGCTCCACACTGTGTGTCCGCTTAGCCTTACTAGAGGGATTTCTTTTTTTGATGACTTAGTACATTTTACTGTACGTAATTTATGTACTTCCTTGTTATTGGAGGTATTGCACTGGCAGGCACTTCAAAAGAATGCACATACAAACACAACATAAATATGCACGAACAACCAGAAGATATTCATGGCACTGCTAACAGCTACATGATGTACTGGAAGGAAGATACTTTTACTACACGCATTCTCTCACTCTTTCTCACTCTCAAATGGATGGCTGGAAGGATAGAGACCACCTTGTTCACACATTCTTCCGTGAGTTTTTCTATCTTTTAGAAAATCTTGAAATTTTCTATAAGGAACAATCTTATAATGAAAAAAATAAACCTCAGTAATAGTTACTTTCTTACAGGATGTATGCTTTTGATTCCAGAAGACAGATACTGACCTGGTTACTTTTCTTTCCTTTTTTTAACTTTGGAAACCATTTGCAAAACCTTGAATAGAACTGGCAATAGTTAATGACCTTGGCACATA